CAGGATGTACCTGGTGAAGCCCACGGGAGGTTAGAAGAGATGTCTTGTGTAACATTTCTGAGCTCTTTCAGCTTCATCACTGGCAACTGCCACCAAGGGACACAGCCCCTTCCTTTCAATGCATTTCCCTCCTTTTTGACAGATGTGCTTTCTGTGATCGGCCAGCTATGGGGACAAAATAATCTTTCTCCGTTTCTCCCAGCAATCATTCCGTGTTAGAGCTGTTTCCACTCAGAACAAGATTCTTTTCTTCTTGGGATACACATCAGCTGTTGATTGCTTGCCTCTGCCATCACTAGGCCCCTTCTAAGGCTGCCACCTGGTAAGGCTTCCTGTACAAAGTCTATTGGCTTCAGCGGCTTCTGCCTACCCTTACACATGCTTTGGATTTTACGGCTTTTCCCTATCTCAGGCCTTGCTATAGACTTAGTCTATGGGTCTTCCCCGAAACTCATTCTCCTATTTTTCATATGGTTTCCAAGAGGAGAATCACATTTGACATAAACTACTGCCATGTTCCTCATGTAACCAGGAAGGATTGTTTAAAACTGTAAAATGTCAGCATTGGTGAGGAGGCCATGTCACCAAGACTTACACAGAGATGATGAAGGTGTAAATTTGTACATATTTTCTGAAATATGTGTTGAACACCATTAAAATATTCATAACTTTAGACATCTCAATTCCCCGCCTAGGAAATTTTCCTAGAGAAATTGCACAAATCTGGGCAGAGATTTATTAAAAACTATATGCACCGAAGTATTATTTTTAATAACCCCAAACTGGAGAAATTAATGATGAATTATGATACCTTTTAAACTGGGGTACTACATATGAATTAAAAATCTTTGCTTTACTTGTGTAATGTCACAGAGAAATGTCACAGTTAGCTGTTAAAACCACAAGGCAGATTTTCAATCTTATTAATCTCAACCACTTAGGAAAAAATAGCCTGGAAAGAACCATGTAATAAGTTGTCTCTTAATAATTGCACTATCATATTTTTTTTTCCTGCTTTAAAACTAGAATTTTTATTAAGAATTCCTCAAACTCAAGAAAACAACTCACTGAAGGTCTGATACGTTGCTGTTGTGTGCCATGAGTCAATTTCGACTAATAGCTAGTAGAACTACCTCAGAGGGTTTCCTAGGCTGTAATCTTTAGGGAAGCAGACTGCCAGTCTTTCTCCCAAGGAGCTGCTGGTTGGGTCACACCTTCCTGTAGTTTTCATTTTTAGTACAATGAGTGCATATTACTGTAAAAATCAGAGAAACAATAAGAAATAAAAGCTTGAGACAAACTGAATTAAAGATGATGATTCGTGGCCACACAAGTACATACACTGCAGGCCTGGCTAAAATCAAAGAGGAAGGGGCGTTGACTGAAAGCACACACAGATCAGACCCTTACTAATCTACTGTATCTCCAAATTCAGCTTCATAAATAGATTTATTCTCAGAATATAAAAAATAAAGAAAACCATGATAAATACTACAAGTGAGATTCAGTTAGCACAAATGTCATCACAGCCAAGAACTCTTTTTTGTAAAGCCTATTTTGCCTCCCTGGGGCACAGTGGTTAAGAGCTTGGCTGCTAACCAAAAGGTCGGCGGTTGGAATCTACCAGCCACTCCTTGGAAACATTAGGCGGCAGTTCTACTCTGTCCTATAGGGTCACTATGAGTCTGAATTGACTAGATGGCAACGAGTTTAGTTTTTTTTTTAAATTATGCTTCCCAGTTGATGATCCAAAATAAAAGCTATCTTCAAAGGAATTGATTCAATAGGATTCAAGTGACATTGGGTACAAACAGTGCTTTTCTAGGTCCTTGTTAGAGTAACAACAGAACTCAGCATTGAACATCTTACAGTTGATTGCAGGCTTTTATTACGCAAATTGAGAAGCAAGAAGTAAGAAGTGAGGTTTTAATTCTGCCTAAATTCTTCTCAGCCCTCCCTCACATCAGACCTGAGCAGCTATCACTGGCCCCACTAAATCACCAAGTCAAAATGCCTGTTTTTAAGCACCCCGACTGAAGAAGCCAAAACTAAAAATCTAGGAATCAAGGCAAATTCAGGAAAAGGAAAAACAGAAAGCACTTAACACTTTTCTCCTAAGTTAAGAGTACTTACTCATTACTGCAACATTAGAGGAGACTCCAGTTTAATTCCCTGCATATTTGGAGTATGATTTCATTTTCTAAAAATTTCTCTGGAAAACTTGTTTGCCTTAGATGTGATGATAGTGGAATTTTTAAAAATAATAAGTTTATTTATTTTCATAAGTATCTCACAGTGACAAGACAATTTAGATCTATGTTGCGATTGTGAAAAATATCCCAAGTTCTGTCCCTCAATATCCAAATGCCCTGCTGCTTCTTTGATCTTTCAATGGTATCAAAATCTGATACATGAGGAGCCCTAGTGGCACAGTGGTTTAAGAGCATGGCTGCTAACCAAAAGGTTGGCAGTTTGATTGCACCAGCTGCTCTTTGGAAACCCTAGGGTCACTATAAGTCAGAATCGACTTGATGGCAACAGGTTTGGTTTTATTGTTGTTGCCTACTAGACCATCAGGAGCTTTGGTGGTGCAACGGCTGAGTGCTCGGCTGCTAACCAAAAGGTGAAGATTTGAATTCAACCAGCAGCTACTTGGGAGAAAGACCTGGCAATCTGCTTTCCTAAAGATTACAGTCTAGGAAACCCTATAAGGCAGTTCAACTCCCTATGATTAGAATTGGCTCATGGCACACAACAACAACTTATTAGACCATCAGCAAGTTGTTTCTTGAGTTTGGAGAATCCTTAATAAAAATTCTAGGAAACAGAGCAGTTTCAAGAAAGCGTATGAAGTTAAGGGGTTTTCCTTTACAGGAAATTATTACTAAAGGGCATGTTCGTGATACTTTTTCTTTCAATTCATATTTATTTATAATTTCTAACGCCAAAAATGATCGAGCAAGAAAACCATTATCTTTTTCCTCTAAGGATTCTTGTCAAGAGCTTCAGTTCCCATAAACCCTTTTACTGTACTTCTTTGGCTGTGATTTAGGAAATAATATTGGAATCATTATTCTCTGTCCTTGAGCACAGAGAATGTGACCCAGCTGGAGCTGGGCTCACAAGGACTCACAAGGACTCACAAGGACACATCAACTGGGCCCTGAGATAAAGACAATAGCTAGGACAATCTTGCAAATTATCTTTTAGGGAAGAAAAGTATCTTTTAGGGAACCTTTCACATGAAGCCAATCAAACAGAACACAAGAAGACTTTTCACTCTCATCTTTTTCTTTAGCAATTAGTGAATAGAAGATTTGTTGGACCAGTGAAGACCCTCCTGACTGTCATTACTGAAACTTGTACCAATGATTGTTAAGAAAGACAATTTGAAGTGCAGGATCACAGTTTCTTGCCAATCTGAAAAGGTGAAGCTTTCAATGGTATTGCCCATTTGTAATGTTGACATATACTGATTCCTCTGTAATGTTCTCCCGACCCGGGCAGACATGGCTCTAGCAGCATGTTTGTCTGTTTTCCCATTCTTGTCTATTCTGTAATATTCTTTGGACTAGGGCAGACATGGCTCTAGCAGCATGCTTGTCCATTTTCCTACTTTTGCCTGTTCTGTGATATTTCCTTGGACTTGAGCAGACATGGTTCTAGCAGCATGCTTGTCCATTTTCCCACTTTTGTCTGCTCTGTGATACTTCCTTGGACTTAGGCAGACATGGCTCTAGCAACATGGTCGTCCATTTCCCACTTTTGCCTTTTTGAATATATGCTGAATAAAACCTTCTTTTTGCTTTACTAATCTTTGTGATGTTTTTATCCTACAACAGCTGTTTATCCTGATCTTTATACATGGTACAGGATTTTATTTAGAGTCAAGTATGCACTGAAGCAGTTAGGTATAAATTATAACTGAAGGTAAAAATGAAATGTGTATGTTCACTTGTAAGAAGTGGGTAGCTTGGATTTCTATTTCTGTGGCTGTATTTTCTTAGTTCTTGAGACTGAACTTGATCTTTTGAACTTGATCTTACATTGCTCTCAAATATTCTTCTAAAGTTCCAATTAGTCATTCAAAAACATAATCTACATTATTTTCTAAACGCATCATGTTAGTAAACTCATTCAGAAATTAACCTTTAATGAATGGAAATCGGGAATCCAAGGTCGAGAAAGGGAGAGTGGTTGATATCTCACAGGGTTGGCAACCAATGTCACAATACAATATGTGTATTGTTTAATAGGAAACTAATTTGCTCTGTAAACCTTAATCTAAAGCACAATAACAAAAAAAAAAAGTTTCAAAAAAAAAAGAAATTAATGTTTAAATTAACTGTAATATAACAGAAAGTAAGGTGCAAAGTTTCTTCATCTTATATGGCCAGAGTTTGCAAACTATGGGCCACAGGTCAAATCCCACCTGTTAACTGTTTTTGTAAATAAAGTTTTATTGACATTACAGCCACACGTATCCAAGCTATAAAGGCAGAGTTGAATAGCTGCAACAGAAATCATTTGACTCACAAAGACTAAAATATTTACTATCTGGCTCTTTTGTGAAAGTTTGCCCACCTCTGTTATTCTCTATCCTTGTAAAGTATATTAAATATATTTTATGACAAATAGTGTTTTCAGCCAAGATTCTTATTTTTTAATTCCGAGCATACATAACCTCGGAGGTTCCTGGGTGGCATAAATGGTTTGCTCACAACTATTAACCCAAAGGTTAGCAGCTCGAACCCACCCAGAAGTGCCATGGAGGAAAGGCCTGGTGATCTGCTTCTGTAAAAACTACAGCTGAGAAAACTGTTCTGCTCTGTAATACATGGAGTCACCATAAGTTGGAATTGACTCAACGGCAATAGGTTTTTTTGTTTTTTGTTTTTATACATAACTTCATCTGGTTTATCACATCTTTATTATTATTAATTAGATTGTTACATAACTATTTCTACGTTGTGTAATGTAATTAAAAAAACTTTACTTACATGGTCTCTTGTAGGCTGGCTATATGTTAGCATTGACTTCTGTTCTTCCTGTGACATCACCAGTATGCAACATGATGAGACATTACTTCAAAGAGCCAAATGGACACACATGGGAATAGATTCTGCAGGAGTCAAAGGTAGCGGTAAAAAGATTAAGAATCAGGTACTGAATAAATCCTCTCTTCCTCAGATTTATGACTATTACCTACATACTTGATCATGCTAGAAAAGACAGAAAGACTCTAATGGAGAAAGCTTCATAGGTCAATACCGAATTTCTAGGATTAATCATTCCTAAAATGTTCATAGTTTCCATGGTTTAACTCATACCCATGATGATTATAGCTACTTCATTTTGGAATACCAATAATCATATATATTCTAAATAAGCCATAATGCTTCATACAGTCCTCTAGTAAAATGTTTGTGTTGTTTTTTCCCCATAAAGCAAATGTGATGTCAAATATATTTGTAGAGTTGATAATCAAATTACTAACCAAGTCTAAGGACGATGTTGAAGACAATTTGTAAACATCTAAGAGTGAAGTGGCAAAGTCTCCACTCACACACGCAGTATTAAAACACAAAATAATAATGTTATATTTTCTAGGTATATGTGATTTTGAAGGGGTTAGAATATGTCAGGAGTCCCTGGATGGCATAGATGATAAGCACTTAGCTACTAATTATAAGACTGGTGGTTTGAATTCACCCAGAGATGCTTCAGAAGAAACGTCTGGCGATCTGCTACCAAAAGATCAAAGCTACTGAAAACTCTATGGAGCATAGTTCTACTCCAAAACACATGGAATTACCATAGGTCAGAATTGACTTGATGGCAACTGGTTTTTTTGTTTGTTTGTTTTAGAACATGCCAACAGATTATGCAATTGGAATACTTGAAAGCAATATATAACCTTTACCTAAAAAAAAAAAAAAATTAGTCCAACTTACTATGCCATTTAAGAAAGTAAAGCACTATAACTCCTATTTTATAAACTAAATTAGGAAACATCTTAACCAAATTTCAATGTGCTCCATTCTATAAAGGATATTGATAATAATAATAAAATTATTTTAGATAATCTTATTTCTGAATATTACTAAGTTAGTAACAGTTTAATATAATTGTAAATGCAAAAGTTTTGCCTTTCAAGCCCCGAATAAGTAAAGCCCTACTGAAGAAGAAGAATAAAGTTGGAGGACTCA